TTCCACCAGTTAAGAATATCAAAATCTTGGACTAGAGGCACATTAGCAGCATCTAAATACTTATCCAAATCTGATATATCATGACTTGAGTCCTTATCTTGTTGTAAAAATTCAGCAAATTCTTGCATAAAGGTCTCTTCATTGGATTTGCTACTACTACCCAAATCAAAAGCTTGTTGGTTGCTACTACCTTGAGTTTTACCCATCTTAGACCCATATTCATCAACCAATCTTCGTAGAAGATCACTAATTCTACTAACCTCAATTTCAAAGTCATGCTCATCAAAATTTTTTGCAAAATAAAAGCGAATAAGAGCCATTTTGTATCTAGGATCTAGTATTGTTGCCACTCCCATTAAGCCATTCACACTAGCCCAATACTTGTTATATTTTTGTAACATAATGTCGGCCATTTTCCTTACATAATCATGAGGAGATAAAAGCCAACCAGAAATAGCAATTCTCAAAGCACAAATTTTAGGAAAATAAAGATTGGCCGTAGGGTAATTTGTTCCTGAAAAATTAAGGGTAGTTTTACTAAACACTTCCAAATGTTCACATATTTTCTCAACTTTTTCCCAATCTTCAGGGGTCGGTGGATTCTTATATAAATTATTACGAGCACTTAAAACAACAAACACTTCTTTATAACTAGTAGCAATAGAAAGCATTTCATAAGTAGAATTCCACCGGGTTTTGCAATCAAGTGCTAACTTTCTACTACACTCAGGAGTTATTTGCTTAGCCACTTGTTCAAACCTTTGTACTCTCTTATCAGAAGCAGTCCAAAACACAACACTATCCCTAATTCTTTGAACACCATTTGATACCACAACACTTAAACCATCTTGAACAATCAAATTTAATATGTGAGCACAACAACGCATATGAAAAAAATCACCTCGCAATAAAAGTGAGCCATATGGAAACACTCCTTTCAAAATTTCCATCATTGCATCATTAGTTGAACAATTATCCACGGTTATAGAAGACAACCTAAGATCAAGATTCCATGATTGAATGCTTTCTTTCAAAGCATCAGCAAGAACCTCAGCAGTATGAGGGGCAGGGACATATAAAAACCTACCAAAACCAATGAAAATAACATATATTATTTGTCTATTCAATACTATTGTGGATATATGGGCTCATTATTATCATCCATCATCACAACTTATAATTCTTATGATTTTAAAATTCACACAAAAAACTATAGCAATACAAAGACAACCAAAAAAAAATAAACAAGTTATAAGTAACCAGAAAACAATACCTTATGATCCGACTTTGCAACTTCCATGTATTATCAATAAAATGTGAGGTGACCGCCATATAACCTTTTCTCTGGTTGTCAGCTGTCCACATGTCAGTAGTTAAGGCAATCTTACCCTTTGCTTTCCTCAACAAGGTTGCAACATTCTCCTTCTCAAGCTCATATCTTTTCATAATATCTTTTCTAGTTGTGTTGCGAGACGGCACTTTAAATCCAGGTTGGAGTGTCTTGCTATATTTTCTAAAACCAATATGCTCAACCATGCTAATTGGATACTCATGCAAAATAATCATCTCTGCCAAGTCTCTTCTTCCATCTTCTTGGTGGAATTCGTAAGGAGCCAATGTCATCGTGTCATTCTTATCATTCAAGTTTTTTTTTGTACCAAACATTCTTGTTTGTCGAAGATCTTGACATACTCTCTTTGGACATATTTTTATATGATCTTTCAAATGAGTAGTTCCTGCTTTTGACCCACCAGCAAGTAGCTTGGAGCAATGGTTGCACTCAGCTTTTATCACATCCCCAACTCTCTTTCTCTTAAAATCAGACCACACTGCCGAAGTATGCCTACTAGTAATTGGTAGGAGAGAAGGATCGGAATTAGTCTCTAGAGGACTTTCATCATCATCTATTGCAATTGGAGTATTACTAGCGGAAGTGGGAACACTAGCGTTATTCTCATTTTTAGATGTCATTCTCCCCTGTAAAAATTAAATAAAGACAATTAATGCACTAGACATATTGACTACAGTATTGAACACATTTGACATCTCAGAAACAGCAATAATAAATTAATAATAGCAAATTAGCAATGCACGGCAGCAAAGGCAGATCATGCTTCTAGCACAGCTATCGGAAGATATCATGTTGAAAGGCCTATCAATGCATAATGTCATAATGTAACTGCTATGTTAATATATTGTTGCTGCTGCATAACCAGTTAACCACCTATCACACTAAGTCACTAACCACTACATACAGGCTACAACACAAATTTATAGCCACTGAGCCACATAGATACAAACACAAACGCTCACACACACCATGCATCATTCATAGGCTAATAGCCAGTCATTTTCAATTCAAATTTAGTAAAAAATCAGTATATATATTTTGAACTACAATACAATCAAAATTCATCCCCACTTAATTATATACAAAGTGTGTTAAGTTAGTGTGTACTACAGAGATTGATCTTAGTAAATGAATTAAATAAAAAAAAAAAGTAACTAAATCTATAATGATCGAATAAGTGGTCAAATGACATAATCCGAATTTAGTTATCACACATAAGCTAAAATAATAAACATAAACTTATAAGTCTGAAATTAATGAGAAAAACTAATTACAATCTATACATATTTCGACTTTATTATATCTATTTTGTGAAATTAAATATAAAAAAACAAGTAATGAAAATTCTAGATTAAAACCCTAATAAACTAAAAAATTTGGAGGTCATCATATTCATACATTATCATACAAAAAATAACAGTAATCAACTACATTGCATTAGATTGAAAGTATCATACAAATATAACACGAAACCCTAGCTCAATCAAATGAAATATTGAAAACCGCAATCGAACAAATCATAAATAAAAGACGAATCACATACTTTCAATCGAAAACCCAATTAAGAAATTCTTAATTGAACATATTGAATTAAGAAAATTCAAAGATAATAATGCGAAAACGTTTACCTAAATTGAATGAGTTGCAGCCTTGCAAGATCGAGGTTGAAGAAGAAGGATCGAAGAGATTTGATTGCAGACGAGGACCACGAGGTTGAAGAAGAAGGATCGAAGAGAGGGGTTTGAGGCTTGAGGAAAAGATTCAGCGCTTGAGACAGTGAGACTGTGAGAGGAGAGAGTGAGGCAGTGAGGCTAGGGTTTTTGTTTTGAGAATGAGTGAATGACTGAATGAGGGTGGGTATTGGGTAAGTGGGTTACTAGGTTAGATTTCATTAGGTGTAGTAATTTTTTTTTTTTTAATCGTATTATGCTATGGCTAGTCGGGTCTTATGCGGGTATGGGGTGGGTATAAAGCGGGTATGGGTCGGGTATGGAGTGGGTCAGGCGGGCGGGGCGGGTACGGGGTGGGTCAGGCGGGGCGGGGCGGGGCGGGTATGGGGCGGGTCTGGGCGGGGCGGGTATTACATAACAACCATCCCCGCCCCATCACCCATGGCGGGTATGGATTTTAGACCCATCCCCGCCCCGCGACCCGCCAAAGCTAGACCCATCCCCGCCCCATCGGGGCGGGGATGGGGCGGGTCTCCTACTAGACCCGCCCCAGTGACATCCCTAAGAAGACGTGCCTAATTTTTCCTAATATCTTATCTTTAAATGAAATAAAAAATATAAATGTTGGTATATGCGGTGTCCACATATATTAAGTTTATGACACAATGTATTTTATTTTTATTACCTAGGTGAATTCAGCCAAATAAAAGAATAAAGAAAAGAAACAAATTAAATTAAAAAGACTAAAATTAACTAATCATATAATTAATCTATAAAGCTAAACTTTTAGTCAGGTTACAAGATAATGACACTTGGCGTTTCAACTTTTCGCGACATATAAGAATTTTTTTTACAGTCAACTTTTCGCGACATATTAGGCGTTTCAACGTAGACAACATATAAGGATTTTATTTATTTATATATTTATTTATTTTTTTAATTTTTTTTAATTTTTTTTATTTTTTTAAACAGACATGTAGATTATTTTGACACATGATATATTTAGATAAATTTTTTAGGATAAAAAAAGTTGATAGATTTTGATAGATTATATTTTTTAAGATAAAAAATTAGTTTAGAGTTTTATATTCAATATAATTTGGATAGAATTTTAGGTTATAATTTTCACAGATCCTCCAAAAAGGCGGGTGTATATTAAATTATTGTAAGACAGGTTAAAGTTATCTTACAATTGCTTAAAGTTACCCTTTATACTACAAAAGTTATTATTTTTCTAATAATAAATTTTTTCTTACAAAAAAATTATAATGTATTAGATTAATTATATTAGCCTTTATAGTATGTAATAATGAATTTATAAGAAATTACACATTAAAATAAAATTCAAACCAACGACGAATTAAAAGTTACCCTTTAAGGGATGAAAGTTACCATTAAAATAGTTAAAGTTACCCTCAAACTGACCGTCTTACAATAATATTAACGTACATCCGCCTTACACAAGACTTATTTTGGTTTAGAGAGGTTTAGGGTTTCATTTAGACAAAATTCCAATTAATATTTCATATTGCTTTAACATGCTACTTTACGTTACTTTCAAGAACTACATTAGATAGTCCAAGATCTTTCCCAATACTATTACAACTTTATGAGCGGTGGTAATATATTTTTTATTTTACAAATATGATTATTAATCCTGAGTAGCAAATTCTAATACATAGATATTTTTCTCATATATAGTGTGTATTTTTTTCTATAATATATATTGTCCTCTTACAAAAGTCAATATTATCTTACGTCAAAATATCCTAAATTAAAAGAGAAATACACCTCTTACATAACACTGTTTATATCAATGATATGTTTTAAAATTTGGCATATAGATAAAAAAGAAAAAAGTTTATCTTTAAATTTAATAGATAACCCGGGCATTGTCCGGGCACAAAACTAATTAAGTTAACAAGAATTGAAAATGGATATATTAAACTTGTTCCAATACAGTTTACAAAATAAGCCAAATGCAAATTTAATTTTTATAGAATACATGGATCATTTTGAACACATCCCCCATTTTTGGTTAACATCATAGAAAAAGAGAAACTATTGCAAGAAATCGAAGATAAACAGCAAATATTTTACATAAGTAGTTAATTGAATTGGTAGCATAAACTCATCAATTCATCATCCCTTAGTTTGCACATCAACAGCTGCTACTCGAGGTACATGAACTGGAAAGTTATCGATCTCATCACTCCAAGGGTTCTTCTCCTTAGCAGCATCAATGCTACGTAAAGCATGCCAAATCGCGCTATTACACTTAAATCCTGATCCGAAACCAATCTGCCAAATCCTGTCACCCTTTCGAATTCTTCCCTTAGCCTCGAGGTAGGCAAGCTCGTACCACAACGAGCTACTAGACGTGTTCCCAAACCTGTAAAGAGTCATCCTAGATGGCTCCATATGCAAGGGAGTAAGCTCGAGATTCTTCTCAAGTTCATCGAGTACTGCCCTTCCTCCAGCATGGATGCAGAAATGCTCGAAAGCTAGCTTAAAATCCGGTATATACGGCTTAATCTTGTGCAACCGTAACACCTTTTTTGCCACTAATGTGGCTAAAAATAGTAGTTGTTCCGAAAAGGGAAGGACTAAAGGTCCTAAAGTGGTGATGTTTGTCTTTAAAGCCTCCCCTGCTACGGCCATTAAGTCCTTAGACAGGGCAACACCGCAATATCCTTGTTCGTCTTCTTGCTGGTAGGCGCATTTGTAGCTCTTGTCATCTGCACCTTTGTGTGTGCGTACAACGTGAACAAGTCGGTACTTTGATCGACTACGATCATTGGCCTTGTTTGAGAGGAGGATCGCGGCACTGCCCATTCGGAAAAGGCAGTTTGGGATGAGCATTGAACGGTTGTTACCACAATACCAATTTTGTGTTATGCTCTCCATGCTTACTACCATTGCATACGAATTTGGATGCACCTGTGACAACAATACACATTATATTCAAAGAATATCCTATGAAACCTAACTTTAACAACTTCTATACTCAAAGAATTACCTTATATTTTTGATGTTTTGATCAATCAAATTTCTTTCTCCATTTAATTTGCACTAATTTTGTGGGTCATTAAATTAAATCTTATTGTACCAATTTATATATGCGAAAAAACAATAATTTTAATGCTAAATAACTAGAATTTAAAAGAACTTAGGCCTACCACAAGGCTAAGCTTGTCAAAGCCAATGCACAAGGTTTCATCGTTTCAGCAGTAATAACCAACGAATCTGACTCAAAAGTGTGTTGTAAATTGTGATAAAGTCTTGTCTTACTAGAAATTTTTATAACAAAACTTATACTTCCTATATCCTAAAGTGATTTTCTTGGTTTGACTTTAAATGGTCAATCTTTAAAATTTTGACAAAAAAATTTCAGTGATATATATATTTTTTTAAAAAAATAATGTAAAATATTATAGATTCGTTCTTATGTGTAATTTTATAATGTCTGACTGTCTGTATACACTATACACAGTTAAAGATATTGATAGTCAAATATACGTTTTGAAAACCGTGCAAAGTTAAAAGAAGAGTTTTTTTTTTTTTTTTTTTTTTTAAGAAAAACAGCAAGGGAATATATTAAGTGAGGTCAAGTTCCGCCAAAAAAGAGCATAATTTTATAACTAAGAGAGTAATATTTTAAGTATATAGTTTTTTTTATTTCTTGTTACTAAATTGGAAATATAACTTACTACGATTAGTAGGTAAACGGACACCACTATTCAAGATGTAGACATGAAATCTCACTCTCTATGTGACAACGTGAGATATTAGAACACCATGCATCTAATCCCAAAGTAGTAATAACTTATTTACTTCGTATAATTTATCAATAATCAACACACATGAATCTAATCTTGGAAAAGTACTTACGTATAATTGCTTATTAGAAAAAAACTAATTGTCACATTACTTCAATCTTGATTATTATGGTATGTCTCTTAATTGTAGATAAACGACTCAGAAATTAGGCCACTTAGCATCCTTAAATGAGTAATTTTATCATACAACGGCAACAAAAGAGTTTAATTATCACGTTAAGACATTGCTAACCTAACTAAAGCAAGACAAAATAATTCTTCATTCAAAATAAAGTACAAAAATTAGCAAATTTAATGCTATAAAAAGGTGATCAGTAAAATCGAACCAGTTTAGATATACTAAATTATTACCCAAAATAAATGTATGGAAGAAAAGTCATACCTCTAACAAATAAATTTTGTACTTAAGTTAGAAGGAAATTTTTTTTGAATACTTCCACTTATCCTATTTCTTTAAAATTTTGATCATAAATTTCCGTTATTTTACAATACGTAATATAGTCACGTCATTCATGTGATATCTTGTTTTATTCCTTTCATTGTTTATTTTATTAATATTCATATCAATTTTCTATAAGTTTTATGTATATAACAATAGAGATTTATGTTTGTTGATCATTGATAAATTAAATAATGTATTAAATATAAAAATTATTTTATTTTTCTACCAATTGTACTTTTTTCCTATAAATAAACTATCAATTGCCGATATTTACATAAATTGGCATTAATTATACAATACTTTTACCCTTCAATTGATCAGAATAGATACATTTATGAGAATGGTACTACAAATAGGTCTTTCACAAATATCTTGAGTGAATTGATTATGTATACTTTTGTGTCCAATTCAATCTCATGTAGAGGTAGGCTTGCAAACAACTATTAGCATTGATGACCTCCGCCAACCCCATCAATGTCGTGTTTAGATTTATGTCTTTATATCTCATATTGCATGTCGTCTTTAAACATATTTACCAAAATCTTTATACATGAGCTATATGACGACGAAAAATGATAAAAAGGAAAGATTAAAAATTATTAGTACTAATAATACCAATTGGCACGTGATATTGTTATAAAATCACTAATTTTGACCAGCTTAGAAAGTGTATTATGCTTGTATGCTATGATTACCGTGTTATAAAGTATTTAAATATTTTGTGTACAATATTAAAGTTTAGGGGTATAGGATGCACAAATTATAGTAAATGAAGGGTATCTAGTGAACTATGTTCAAGCATGGAACTTAAGTTATAGCTAGCAAGACTAAAAATAATAACAGAATACAAAAATTTTGGCTTAATCTCGTATAGTAGATAGTTTGCAAACATGTAGGGCCGTCTAAAATTAGAAACTCATATGTTCGTCAAATGAAAGTGACATTGAAAAATGATTACGTAGTGTGAAAATGATAAGTTGTAATTCATTTTGACAATGTAAAATATCTTATTGAACCACCTAGTATGGGAAAAAAGATGTAACAAATGTAACAACTTCAATACAACCTTAATTGACCAAATTTTAGTAAACAATTTGACACTTTAGAAAGTGAAGCTACTGCATAATTTAAATTGGATTTGTTATTAGACTGATAACGTGACAACTACTTACATAAGAGTCGATTATAACATATTCTTACAAATGGGGAAAATGAACAACTCCATATGAATGTTTCTTACTATACATCATAAGCTAACTTATAAAAGCTACTCCATACCCCAAAATATTGCCCAATAATTCTTTCAAAATTGTCTGCAATAGATTGTCTTATTATCATTTCAGTTAACATTGTCCCCATTATCTATCACAATTTTTATTACTCTCTTGAATGTTTCTAGTCCACTAATACAGTATGTCACACGTGACTACGTAACAAAAACTTTAATAAACTTGTAAAATAATTACCTTAAATTAAAGTTCTTGTTAGAATTTTGATAATCACCACTTGAATATCCAAGCCATCAATTTGTTAAAATTGAAAAAAAAAATTTAATCAATTAATTAATTAATTTTTTTTATTAACCTTATCTCCCTTTATTTTAATTAACATTATCTTCTCATAATTTAGTCAAAAAATCTACACACCTAAGTTACTCGTGACTAATATAAAGCACAACAATAAAATTAAAAGAACATTGATGTAATAAAATGCAACGAACAACAAACCTGCAATAGATCTTTAGCAAGATCCATGGAAATTAGACCAGCACTGCACCCCATTCCACCAAGATTGTACGTTATAATGTTACCTCTAAGCTTGTAACGATTAACGATCATGGCCGAAAGCGAGGGCAAAGGCGTAAACACACTACAATTCACAATTAGTATCCCAATTTCCTTAGTCAAAATCCCTGTCTTTGCAAGAAGCTCATCAATAGCATCAAACATGAGCTTCTCCGTTTCCTTCCTAGCCTCGGCTAAGGTCGGCTTAGGAGGGATCGTAATAACGGAATCTGGTAAATAAGTCTCATCTCCAACACCGGACCTCTCGAAAATCTTCCTTTGAAACTCAATGTTTTCATTAGTGAACGTACCATATTTGACAATTCTCTCCATGCACGTTACCTTAGTGGCTTTACGTGATGACTCGGGTTTACAACACGCAAAATCGACTAGATAGACCGTCTTAGGGCGACTCTTAATGTGTACCGTGCCTAAAAAGACTAATATAGAAAGACACAAAGCTACTGTGAAAAGGTTAAGTTTTAAGAGGTTCCAAAGATGATCCAAGTTTTGGGTTGTAACTAGGGCTGACAATGGAGCGGATGATAATATGGCTAGGAATGTTACGACAACCAGGTATACCGCGTTTGAGATGAGATAATGGTAGCCTAGCTTAACATACTTGAGTTTAATTGATGGTTGGAAATTTTTTGTATCATTTGAAGAAATTATTGGAATTTTTGAGTTGGGTTTAACTTGATCAGCCATAGTTGGTGATAAGGTAGAGGGAAAAAAAAAAAAAAAAAAAAAAAAAAGTAAGGGTGTTTGTATGAAGGGCAATAGTTGGTTTCAACACTTTATAGCCAATAAAAGTGAAAAAGAATCTAAGTAAGCAATAAATGTTTTTAACTACTTACTCAGTTTTGAGGTCGCAGAGATATGAATGGTTGTTTGACTTAGGTTTTATTACTACTTTACATGTAAGGTTGGCAAAGAAGCCAACATGTTATTAAAGAGTTGGGGTTGAAGAAAAGGAAGTGCACCTTAAGTCCTTAATTATATTCAATGAAGTTAAGTGTGTATTTCAGAGTCTATTTCTAGTGTTTAACAATAGAACCATATAATAATATGCTCTCTAGTTTGGTGATATACACCCTCGTTTTTTAGCTATTACAGTTTGATGTTTGCTTACACACAAATTTAGCCATAAATAATCTCTATTTGTCTATTTAAGAAATCTATTACGTACTCCATACAAAATACTTTATCTGTCCCATAATATAGCATCTCTTTCATCTTTCACGGAAGATGAACCTTTGATCATCAATATCTTTAATCACAGATATTAACAAAAATTATAAGAAATAAAGTTGATATATAAACAAAAAAATGGGACAAATATAATGCTACCTATATATCAGATTATGTTAGTTGTTTATATACAAGAGAATCTTTAGTCATAAATTTAAATTTGATCAAAAAAAAAAAAAAGGGTACAAAATAGGCACTACGCCACTACTCGTATGTATTATGGTACGAGGGGTATATAATTTTATTTGGAATATACATTATGACATATGTAACAACATTACACAATAACAACATTACACTATGTGTAGGGTGTTAATTAGAGGTGTTTGACAGAGGATTTATCTTCAGATGGATCACGGGTGCGGGACATCAACCGAGCATATGACTATTTCAATCATGTTACTAACGATATGTTAGAGGCAACATTGAAAGTTTCATATTGGAATCAATGACTAAAAGACCTGGGTCTCTAAAGGGGATTTACCTACGTCATTGTTGTATTCAATGTTAAGATGTGAAAAATAAGGAATGAATTTTTCACTTAAAGATGATGCAGGAGTCTGGCAGTAAGATAATGCTCAAGTTAAGGATTGGTTTTTGACTCCATTCAAAAATTCTTCGCAGCAACCAGGGGACTAACAATGGACTTGACACAAACCAGGTTTTAAGGAAACTGGATATACTGCAATTGACTTGTAAACATGTCGAGGTCCTTATTAACCAGCTCATAGCAGAGGATGTCAAGAAAGCTATGATGGGCGAAACAGTCCGGCGGAATGTTTCAAGAAATATTGGGATACAGTTGTTGTAGCAGCTTAGAGTTTCTTCTCCGTGGGGTTTCTACTGAAAGAGTGGAACCATTCAATTTGGTCATGATTCCCAAAGTTTAAACGCCTTAGGTAGCGACACAACTACGACCGATAAGCCTTTGTAAAACTGTCTACAAATGCATGTCTAAAGGTTTGGTAAATCAGCCTTGCCGAATTTGATCTCAAAAGCTCAACATGCTTTCATATCAGAGAGGCAGATGACGGACAATACTATTCTCAGCCTCAAGGTTTTGGACAATATCAATAAGAAGAAGCAAGGCTGAGTAAGGTGTATGAAGTATGATAAGGTTAATTGGGATTTCCTTAAACGGGTGCTACTAGCATATAGTTTTCATACCTAGTGGATCTAGCTGATTCAACAATGCGTTTCTACAGCCTCGCTCGTTTAAGCCAGTCTAGAGTTGCATTAAATACCCACAAACTGTTAGGGTCACGATTATATTTGCAACTCATGACATGTTCACTGGTAAAGGGTCTAGCTCTACCTGGCAATGCATGACTAAGATGGGGTCAGGGAATTTTTTATGGTCATAAGTTGGAACTTAGTCCACATTTAGGGTTTTCTCCCTACAATTTGGCCTAAAGGCATATAAGACTATTTCGTCATCCATTTCTTTCATAACCTCTTCCTCGGTCTTCTCCGTGTATAGGGTGGTATACTAGCAACCCAAACATGAGATCAACCATAAAGGACCTCTGATATTTTCTAAGTTGGAAGGTGAATGTAGGGCTTCCCTACATCTTAACAAACATCTATACAATTACCCTAGTAAAATTGGACCTAAGGAAATAAAAGAACTACTATAGGTTATATTCACATCAAGTGGCAACAACAATGCAGAAATGCTACCAAATTTGTACATCATTAAGCGAGTAAGAGAGAAAAGAATGAAAAGTACCTCTTTCTCAGAAGATACTTCGGTTGAGTATGATGATGATGTAGAATATGAGATAAAGGCATTGAAGTCGACCTTTCTACTCTTGGATATTGCCAAAATCTTCTTTAAAAGATCGTAGCATCTCTTGTACAAGGGTCCAGCACCATCAATGACATTGAAGACTATAACCTTTTGTCCATCATTGCTGTAGGGAGAGAGGCCAGTAAGGAAAACAATGTCAGAAAGAGTAACAGTCATACATCGTACCCTTGACATAGGATAAAACAATTTTGCACAGGATCCCACGGCGATATCAAAGCACAGGTAAGCGATCCGTTAAATGGAATCTTGCTATACGTCGCTAGTTTGAGGAAATAGGAGATTCTCTTCTTCTCCCACTTAGAGTGGAACTTGGCAAGACGTCTAAACAAACCCTTGGCTACAAGGTCTTAAACCTAACCCTTGATTGGATTTTGGCTTATTTTCAAATTACTACTTGAGTACAAGTCATTAAAAGTAGTAGGACAGAGCGTTCCTTTGCCCAAAACACACTAAGTCAATTTAGGATAGATCTCCTTCATGAATTCTTGTTCTACTCTAAGTCTAGAGAAATTGATATGTTTATTTTATATAGTATTTTACCCCCATCCCTTGGTCATATATAGGAGTATTTTTGGCTCTGCAGAGCCACTTTTATTACTAATATACGTTTTCTAGTGTTTTCGTAGTTTTGGTATTTTTCTATAGGAAATTGCATATTTGGAGCATTTTCGCGGATTTATTTGAGCCACTACGAGCATTGGAGTAGGATCGCGTTCATATGACCACATTCCGTAGCCCAAGACCGCGTTGGAGCAATCAAACCGATGATTAAGGGCTCGACATTTAAGAAGAGACCGAGGCAATGGATCGAGTGTTAAGGACCCAAAGAGGAAATCCAGATTGGGCCAAGAAAATAGCCCAATCAAAGAAGTCTAAGTTGCCCGGATGCTTGCCTGACCGGGTAAGCCCTCTCCCAGAGGCGCGCCTGGCCGGGCGAGGCAGATAGGAAAGAATAACCCTCCGCCCGGAGGCGCGCGTGTTTTGAGGGTTGCTTAGCAATTTTTAATCTTTGTTTTAGCTTAGGATTTTTTAGCTTGAGTAAAAATACACCTTGTTAAGCGAGATTTGCGGACATCATCCATTAATTAATTTCCAGATTTTTAGTTCTAAGCTTTTGCTAATACTCTTGTTCTTTCAACTCTTTTGGTTTATGCAATTCATTATTTTCGTTTATTTTGGTAACGATTTCTTTCCCTTTTATTTTCAGTAATTTAATTGCTTTAATTAATCATGTCTTGTTTTATTGCTTTGTTTGATTTAGATTTTAATATGTGTGATTAGTTTTATTTCTAGGGTTTGTGGGGATCCATAAATAATATGACGGGGTAATTTATTATTGTTGATTGTTAATGCTTGATTGATTTCCTATTAATTGATTTAACGCTATGCAATTAGATTTAGCCAGGTTTAATTGTAGGAGTTATGCAATATTTGTTTCGGGGTTTTCTGATGTCCTGCGGGAGAGTTACAATTCCGAGACTGGAACCGGACGCCTGTACCTGCAAAATAACGGAGACTCCTGAGAGCTCCGCCTCCAACGGTCAAGTTAGTACCTGATTAAGGAGTAATTAATACGGAAATTAAAGTAACAAGACCTCTCTAGGTGAGAGTGTTTAATGTTGGTAATCTGCTTTGTTAGCGAGATTAGCCGGTTATTAGAGTTCCGTAATGTGTCTGTTCTTCTCTGTTCTTCAGGTGAGATTAATTGCTTGATCAATCATCTCTCAATTGCTTGATGTTCTCTTGATTTCTTGATTGCTTAATTAATGAGGATTAATTAAGTATTTATAGTCTTGAGAAGCGTGCCACTCTCTAGGTTTAGGGTAAACCTAGGGCTGACCGGGCCTCTAGACAGGATTGGGCCTTGTTGGCCGGTTTTCCCATTTGGCATGGGTGGACACGTGGCGTGTCTCGATTGGTCCGTAGAGGACGTATCTGTGATTGACACGTGGCAGGCTCCTATTGGCCTTCGTGAAGGACACGTGGCGGAACCTGGTTGGTCCACTTGTCAGACGGTGATTGGTGGATAAAAATCCCCTAATCATTTGCCCCTCACAGGTGGCACGTGACTGGTCACGTGTCGCCTGTGACAGGTGTCGCACGGTGACAGGCGACGGCCTGCTACAGGTGTCACCTTGCAAACGGCCGAGAGATTTTCCCGCCCAAATTTTGAATTTGGAAGCGACCCTTCGCCTTCTCACTTTGCCTATATAAGGAAGTGCTGACTTCGGTCATTTTCACATTTGAGAACTTTGCGAGAACATTCGGACCCCTGAACTTGCTCTGACATTTTTTTTTCTGCCTACCGCCTGTTCTGACAAGCCGACTGCACCGGATTTCCAGAACTTCATCAACCGTCACTCGTTCAGGTAACTCAGTTCTCTTACTCTTAATTTTCTTTTTATTTTTTGAAATGGCACCACGGAAGCACACGACACGACCTAAGTTAGTGATCAGCCGGTCACCGGGGACGGCTGAATCTAGGACTAGGAGTGCCGCCTGCCCTTTTCTGGACCCATCTTTGCCCTTTATACAAAGTCCGACTTTATCTGTGTCTATGCAGAACGTGATGGCCAGAACAAAAAAGACTGCTATGATATCAAACTCAGACGGCTCCTCCCAAAGGGTGCTCATTAGTGAAACATCTGACCAGGCGCCAAATGTAGAATTAAAACGAGGCGGCTGCCAAGCCGACAGTTCTGAGAGAGGGGCCAAGGTGGTCCCTTCCCATCTTACCGTTGATATGTCTAATTTTCCTCCTGCTCCTTCTAAGGGAGAGGAGGCGGGCCCCTCTG